CCAACGGCCTAACAGGCGGCGTCGTCATGATCTTATATCTCACGGCCTTTGCTGTCCTCCCGAACACGAGTCTGCTGACGGCTGTTGGGGGTCACTACGCCGATTGGTGGGACATTTCCGAGGTAGATATTTCATAACGCATCATGGTCGCCCAGTGCTGATGTGACAATGCTTAGGATGGGTTTATAACCCCCATAAATCCAGTTGACATATTCTACGCCGACGTTGAACCTTCCTTGGCGGAGAAAGCTATCGCCGCTGTAAGGCCCATGCCTATCAATTTCATAAAAGACGCATCACTCTACGACCCCTGGAACCAAGGCTTCGAGGTTGGTTATATCTTCGCGGAAGAGGATCACGCTATCCATATTAGCGCCCAGAAGGCCATGTTCGCCCAGCTTCCTGCCGGTTCTTTCTCTGCTAGCCTCCGCTCTAGCCATTCGCCATTCTTCAGCATGCCCGATGCGCTTGCTGATGCCATCCAAGATGCTGCCAAGTACGCCGTTATGAAAAGGTCTCCTAAGTGGATTCAAAATTCCACTTGAGGTGGTCTGTTGTTGCTGGGCAGATATACCCGCTCGATGTTGGCTTGATGGCCTAGAGTCCCTGAGAAATGTCTTCGTTTGGGATATGTATAAAATACCCTGAATCGTGTTGACTCAGCTTTTCTTTTGCTTTACTCATCCTGAAACTTATAAGTGAAACCCTTAGGCAGTTCCTCCATCATTTATCATTGCACGACAAGATACTTTTCCTTTTCTGAAAAAATATCTATAGGAAGAGACAAGTTTTCCTTGCACACAAGATAATCGTCTAGTAAGTTTATATACAGAATATCTCGAGGCCCCTACTTTGCCCCAGTACCAGTTGGTTCCGTAATGGGCGCAACAAGGCGTGACTACTAAGTTAACGCCCAAATTCGCTAAAATACCATCGCTATCCATATTCTTCGACCTTACTACCTATTTGAGTTCTGGTTCTGCGTGAAATGTGCCCCATGTCGAAATCTTCGTCATAGACACAAACGCAATTAGATATCAGGAAACTCAGCTGAAGCTGCGCGTCAGGCTTGCGCCGCTTTCTGCACAAGAATGGATACCCGGGTGGGCTAGAGTGTAATCGCTTATCCTCGTGAGCAAATCGTACAGAAAATCGAAGCGGCATGCTGACTAGAGCCTGTTCCTGGCTTATCATAGCTAACGAGAAGGCTATGCGCTAGGCGGGCGGCGGATTAGAAATATTGATGTTGACCATAGAAAGGCAACCATCCCCCCCCCGGCCGCTACGGAGAGAGGAGTAGATACTTGAGATTGAGCACATGTAGCACAGCGCTTGAACCACTATGAAGTAATCATTCTTATCCTAAGATCGAGTAAAGATATGTTGGGGGGCATTTAAGGATGGATAGGTTCAGCTCTCGGTGTTAGTGACGTGAGGCGATATAAACGGCTTATTAGTCTCGATCCGAGGACCGGGTTCAAGTTAATATGCAGCCAAGAGTTGGCGTGCATCGCTTACATAACGATTAGTGATCTTGAACGGAGCTGCGTACGTCATCTCAAGTGCTGTTGCCGAGTCCCGGTGACAGGATGCTTCTATCTCGGGATGCCGTGTTCGTACATAGCCTTTACGGCGTTAGCTATCATCATTGACGTTCTACTGAGTATGTTCTAGGTCGGCAACCCTAAAACAGAATGCGCTACCCGGAATAATATTGGCCGCCGTGGGAGAGCTGCGTTAGGAAAGGGAACATCACGATGACGTATATTGAACATAACATCGTACGATTATTGCATTTTTCTTTTTATCGTCATATATCTTGTTTTGTGTTGTGTTTCCTTGTTTGAACCACCCTTTTTACTGAGCTGATAGGAACATCCTAGATTACACTACCGGCTTAATAGCCACCAACGGACCGTGATCATTACTCTTCATCCCTGGATGGACGTATCGCACGGACTATCTCGCTATCTCGCGGGAAGAGTTTATACGCCATCCCCCCTAGTTGTGAGAAGGCATTGACACACCGACATACATTTCCAGGCCGTGCTTTGAACAATAAAGAATATTGCGTCGAAACCCCTCTCTATCGATACAACAAGCCTATACGCTATAGGCTGACTAGCTGGGTATGGTGCGTGCCATCGACAGGACCAACAGGAATGATGCACGGTTCGAATGGCCTAGCGCCTGTATCAGTAACTCTCTCGCTGATGCTGCATTCGTTCAACTCACCTGAGCGACCGTTCGCGCTTTAGCGCCACGAATGAGGGCTCGTCGGCCGGCCGCGTGTGATTTCGTGCTTGCCGCTGATGGTGAATTGTGCTACGTGCATTTTATCGAAAGCCGCAAGCGCGGGTAATGGTAGTAGTTCAGTAATTTGTTGGAAACTGAGTTTGTGGGCTTGTTATTATAGGATGTGCTGAAGCGAGGTCACGGTGCGATGATGGATTTCAAGTCTTTTAAGTCCATCGGTATTTGCCTTCGATTCGTCATTTATACTCGTGCCAGTTGGCATATACTAGTACTATAGTAGTATGCTAGCTCCCGTCGACAAGGCAGCTTCGTGTGCCGCTTTCTCACCGAGTTGGAGCTCGTATCATGTAATGGACGCATGCATGTCAGCTTACAGTGACTACTAGTAAGTACGACGACACAGCCTTAATTCTACCCCGGCTATATCACAGATGGACAAATTGGGTCGAATGCGCTGCTTATTCTGGTCTCAAAAATAGTCACCGCTTGTTGGATTGAGCAACGCGTACTGTAAAGTGCGGCATAATCGGGGCTCGGGGCATGAGACATGAGGTCGCACTTAACTTAGCGTTGGGGTCCGTTGGCCCGCGGCTCACCGGTCAGCAATATGGCCCCCAGAATAATGCATAGTACTTCGTCTATCCTAGTCTATTAGGCCTAACGGATTAATCATCTGGCGTCATCCTGTCTCTAACCTAAGCCTCTGAGAACGTTGACCCGATTTCTCCCCATTTCATGTTGCTGAAGGTCACTTGGGGAGCTGGCTCGATTTGCACGATGTTCTTGGGATCGCCCTCGGTCGCGTTGCAGGGTCCGGCACCGTCGGCGTTACCGTCGAGCCACTGCATGAAACCACCCTCGTCCCACCACAGACTGAACGTGAGGACCATGCCCCGGCTCAATGTCTCGCCAAAACCGGACAGGGCCCCTAGTCTCATGAAGTCGGTGGCACCAGTCGCTTCGCAGTACTCGTCGGTCTCATAGTCGACGGATGGCACACCCTCTTTCCCGATCACCCGGGCCTTGATGACCTTACCACCCTGCACGTACAGACGGCGGATTCCAGTCAGGGTGCCATCCGCATCCGCGGGGAACTGGGTCACCACAGTAAAGGGCTTCGTCGTGTCGACGTCGAAGTCCGCGCCCTCCCCGTAGTAGTCGGTCTGGTTCAATCGGTACGTGTTCCAACCGCACCCGTTCTTATCGCACACACCCGCTTTGGCGCATTCATCTCCAGTGCAGAGGTATGGCCCGGTCTGGTTGCACGGGTGAGGAGCAATCTGGGTTGATCGGGCATTGGCCTCCCAGATGTCCATCTCATTGCAGCAGGCACCCTTTTCACCGACATTTCCCTAAGAGCTGGAAGTCAGTCACACGCCCCGAGAACCCTGGGGGGACGATTGAGAGTACTCACGACACCATTAATAAACGGAGTGACGTAGCACTGGGCGTCACAGTAGCCTGTTCCCCAGGTGGCACCACCGGGGTTGAGGTCACTCTTGCCACCGTCTTCCAGCATCTCGCCCATGTAAAGAGCGCTGTTCATGCCACATGGCAGACGCGTGGCATCAATGTCGAAAGAAATCTCTTGTCCGGTGAGCTTGAGCATCTCGTACTTGTCCTTGGCTTCGTTCAGCAAATATATCCGAGGCGACACGGTTCTGCCGTTCACGATCTGTTCCATGAGGAGCTCGTCGTCCTTCGTTGTGACGCCGATGGTGGTGTAGTCCTGGATACTCTCCATCACACAGTTCTTGGCGCAGTCTTCCTCGGTCGGGCAAGCTGTGGAATCTGGGCCACTCCCCCAGGAACCACAGCTGCCTCCGCCATTGGCCTGATGAACCCCGTGCGAGTCCGAATCCAAGACGAGGTAGTTGGTCGCCTCTTTACATCCGTCCGCATTTGTGCATCGGTATGTTATGATCTTGGGATGGTTGTCGGCGTCACCAACTGGCGTTTGCGCCGCGGAGAGACCCAAAAGGGCGAAGCTAAGTAACAAGTTTTTGCCGGCCATTATGACTAGGCTGCTAGACCCTTCCTTATTATATGGGGGGTTCTTGATCTGGGGTGCAGTAGGATAGGATGGCGCAATACTCCATGTTCAAGCTCGACTTATATAGAGAATCGTTCGTGGCGCTCATTTCTATCTCCCTCCTCGCGGACGGTTCTTTCGCTTCTCCACTTTCCCAACTTCGACTCGTTCCGCAAGCCAAGCTATAGCATTTACGTGCTAATGACGGCCCAATGCAATTCCTGTTATTTCGGGAGGATGCGGCCTGTTTTGAAGGGTGGAATGACCCCTCCGAAACGATCGGCGTGGAAAGTGGCCCGTCATCCCGACATTATTATAAAAGTAGTATGGCACCCAGACGTTGCTGGCTTTTGGGTGGAGTTAGGCTAGATCTAACCGCACCCCGCTTAGGTTTCATCTTAAGTCGGCAGGGTAGTATTGCTCTACCGAGAAAACCGTCCCTGATGCCAAGCAGACGGATTCAAGGTTTTGAGTTAGTGACGATGTGCCGCAATGGCAGGTCGGTGTGTATGGAGACGATGGCGATGTGACGATAACTACCGGCTACCGATATCCCTGCGCCTAATTTATCCTGTGGTTTAACGCATGTGGATGGATATTGGTTTAATGGTGTAAAGCATTAGCGCCGTAGGTTTATGCACAGTCATCCCAGTAGCCCCCATAGGCAACTAACAACAATAGAATCGTGGTAGTTAACAACGGCTCTAGATATCTCCAAGTGGCGTAGTTGGTTTAATGCGTTCGGCTGTGATAGAATCTTTGATACTGAAAGATCACCTGTTTGGTTCAGGTCTAGGAGAGTTTGATTTTTTTATACTCGTTCTATAGGGTAGATCTATTTATTAATTGACTAGACTAATGGTCGTAGCTGCCGTAACGTACGGAGTAATCGTAGTCCTTTGGATGATGTAACTACTTAAGCAGTCTATATTAAACACAACTACAAGTATTAGCCGTAGCAGCTATAATAATGCATCAGTAAAAGAAACTAGGGACTAGATATAGAAGACCCGAACCCTGTTGATCAATCGTGGTAGTTTGATATTCGAGACTGGTGGCTATTATATACCAGTTATGCGTGTCGGGGTTTAGATAAGGCGGGAATGCCAGGTTTATATGCCATCATCTTCAGCGTAGGGGTGTAATTAATGGTTGCTATTGCGCCAAGACCCTTAGCTATCTATGCTAGGTGTTATTACTAATATGCAGAACACTCCGTTGTAGAGGTGGTATAGTGTGACATTGTATACGCAACTAATTGTCGAACATGGCTACATGGCTTCCTCCACTGATGAGTTGGGGAAATAAATAAAAATAGTGTTCCCCATTTACTATATTAATAGTTAATGTCAATAATACTCACCTCTTCCCACACCTGCATAGGATCTTGAGGAAGCCAAGGCGGGGAGGCCACAAGTGCCGCGTTAGTCTTATGCAGAGAAGAACGTGTTGAAGGAACCTAGCACGTAGAAAAGATAACATACCTACACAGCGCAGCAATAGCAACTTTGTCTCGAACACATCTTGTGTGTGGAAAGATGCGAAGAGACCGTTGTGGTGTAACCAGATAATTATAAGCTTGCTAGATAGCTGACCGGTTGACCAGCCGGGTATATAGATCACCTCGCTAGCTCAAATCACACTTATCTTCTTCACCACAAATACAATTCACTTTCGGGCTTGACAATTCCGGCATCTTCTATTATTTGCAATAGAGACTGAATCGCTTATATTTCTAGTTTGCCCCACAGGGTTGAAGGACCTATTATATAACGTCTTTTCTTATTACCATTAGGTAACCATACTAACAACGGTATGTATGCTGCTAGGCACCTAAAAGAATCACACAGTCCTCTCCCATCACAGATTTAGGGCTACTGTCATAAGCCGAAGTACCAAGCCCGCCGGGGGCAGAAGCAAGCACGTGTCCCCTTATTATACCTCTAGAACAAAGAGGTGTTCTAGTAAATAATTAGCATAAATAATAAAGCTTTTTATATAACAATAATTAAGGATTATGACACCTTTGCTACACTTCATCGAAATTTACACTCTTTCTTTTTTAGGTTTTGGTTTTCTATGATACCTGATCTAAGAATACGGCTATAACCTTAATTGTTGCCCTTGTAACTGACCTTAAGACTTTGTCTCACAGCCACGCGATCCGTGCTCCGGCGGCTATAAATTTCGAGGAGATGAAAATGGCCCGTGGCGGCCTCGTTGTAATCACTTTCGCCATAGTCGCTCTTGGCGGGCCGGTTGACCCCTTTGAACCCAGCCCAAGATCCTTGAGCTGGGGACAGAGTCAAGCCAGCTTGGGTTGAGATGCACTGGCTGTCATAGGTGACATACGTTGAGTGTTGAGTTAAGTCAGCTACGAGGCTAGCAGCGGAAAAGCCGCCATCGACAGTATTCCACGGTGTAGTGCCATGCTCGTTTGGAACCTATACGGCCCAGGCTTCTAGCCTTTCACTGACGAACATCCCATAGCCCGTCCAGCAAGACCGGCCAGACTTGTTCACGAACAGTTTACCAAGCGGTCAACATACTGGTCGACCGTGCCCGGATTTGACTCCACCATAGAAGTGAATGTATGGATTGCCTCCATCTATGTGTAGGAGAAGTGTAGTTGGTAATTATTATTGTTGTAACTGAACAATGGGATCACTTCATTGCACCACGCGGTGGGCACGGAATCTAGTTATTCCCGTGTCTTGGCGTCTTTGAAAGTATTATGGCTTAAAGCTCGCGAAAGGGGCGAAACATTCCTTCATAGCAAACGTCTTCCTCAGTTTGTCGTTGCTTGAATGAGTGTTGGCAATGTCGGCGTCGGGGTCAAATGGGTTAACGGGGTCGTCATATTCAAAACCCTCGGCTGACTCGCTTTTGGTACAGCTGGGCCCATGGTCGCTGATCAAGGCATCACTCGGAAAGAGTGTAGCCGATGAAATATCAGATAAGAGGCAGAACGAAATGTCTATCTACAAGCTTCTCTTCTTCGGTACACAGTTTTATTAACGGTATGTTACAAATAGCCACTCGGCTGACCTCCGTTACAAATACCCCCTTTCCCCCATATCAATAAGGAACGTCGAGGGCCTTAACTGCGTGACTAGTCCGTGGGTAAGATTCAGGATTCGGTATGCTCGAAGAATCAGAGATACTAACAAATCCTACTCCAGGGCCTCATGGATGAAACAAATTAACGCGGCTTATATCGACGTCCCCAATTGTGTCTCACATTGGCGCTGAAGGGCAACGGTAGTGCCTTGTGTGAGTTGTAGAAACACACGTACAGGTGTCAGCAACCGCAAACAAGAGCGCATGTGCATTAACCATGTTCCGGCTCTACCCATTACTTTGTTGGCCACATAAGACTCATGGTCTCAGCTGCTTTCGCTCGATTGATTACGAATGTATCGACATCCCTTATCAGCCAACGATGCCTTCCTGTTTTATGCCTATCGTCGCTTGAGTTAACTGTTCAGTGTCACATGCTCTGTCGGCAACCATGCAAATCGGTAATGGGCGGTTAGCGGGAGGAGCGAACACCCGAGTAATTGATGTTGTCACGGAAGAGAACTGCGACACTATGCCACAACACTACCAAAAGTAGAACGTTGTCAAGTTAGGAAACTTGACCGTTTGCAGGCCCTTATATATGGGACCGTGACAGTACCCCGTTCTTAAAGCATATGTAAGTTGTCTACTGAAAATCTAAGTATATAGGCCGTATATAGTACAAAACCCAAGAAAGCAGGGATCTTACGCACACAGTTACTGCGGGGTGAAAAGGGTACTGGCATATACATAGTAGACGGGTATTGGAGAAGTGCATGGGGAAGATATTATGCTACTTCAACCTGGCCACTGGCCCCCAAATCAACGCCAAGAGCACAAGGGCCAATGGATAAGCTAGCAACAATGGACCGGCTTCGGGTACTTCAATATATCGGTCTTGATGTTGGTTTGATATCAACTTGTATCTGCGCCTCTTGTTGGCACGCTGCCATCGGGCGCTCCTGGCAACTTTGGCAGGGGACAGTAGAGGGTTTCCTTTCCGTGGCAAGCAAACGCTTTTATAAGCGTGCGCAAAGTTTATAAAAGGGGGTGGTAATCGGAGCGGTCGGACAGGCGTAGATAGAAGCCAGCATAGTTGAATACGGCTTGGCGTTATTTCGTTTGTTTCGCATATTTTCTACATGATGGTTGTCACCTGTGAGCTGAATTAGTTGTTTGTAGTGACTAAAGCCCAACTCTCATCAACATTTTTCTAGCGACCATGATCGAGGTATCTAAAGAATATTCGTAACACTTTCAGAGGGATTCAGGGACGGTTGAAGTTGAATACATCTAGCCTATTTCCCCCCTTCTACACTTCCTCGTACCTATGATTTCGATGCCCCTACCTTCGTATTAAATGCTGTAGCCATATAGACGTCGCACCAACACATGCGGTCACTGACGGCAGTACCAATCTAGCACTGGCCAGCGGCCACCTACCTACGCGTGTTTAGCAAGGCGTTTGCTTATTATCTCATCCAATTATGACCAGCCATTTGTCCCCATGTTGACCGTCACTCTAGGCACCGACGTGATTCTTACACATTAGAGGAGACCCCGCAACCTGGTCTACAATCTTGCAGGACGGGCGGCTGACCATGCAATCCGTCGCCCATCTCCCCAGGAACCGAAGACTGACATTCCATATCCGTCGTTGTCTACATTGCATTTATTTCTCCTCGGCTTCTTCCCAATCCGGCAAAAACACCATGGAGATCCCAGAAGACGACCAGATCAGCTACATGCTCCAGCAGTCCCTTATCGCTGCGGAACGAGCGAATCTCCGACGAGGACATATTCCAAGGGACCACCCGCGTCCACAGGCAGTTGTTAATCAGTTCATGAGGCAACGCTTTAGCACTCAACTAGCGCAGGCTAAGAAAGACGGATACGTGCTCAGGACAACCCAAGTACCATCATCTTACGCCCCAAGTGTGCGTATGGCAGATGGCCTCCATTCCATGGCTCTCTCGCAGATGGAGCTTCAGAAACACCACCGGGGGAACAAAGTCACACTTCGAGTCATGACTCCGCCGGATACCGTGAATGCCATCATGGCAGTTGTTGAAGACGAAGCGGGTACTGCGGTCCTCCTTCAGTTGTATCATCAACCGAAGCCTCCGGAAGTCGACCCGGAAGATATTCTACGTCCCAACCGGGTCTTGATCGTCAAGGAACCTTTCTTCAAAGCAGCAGGGGACGGAGCATACAGCCTTAGGGTCGATCATCTCAGCGATGTTGTCTGGTTGCAAAATACAGACCCGCGCATCCCTTCCAAATGGAGAGATGATCGCCCCAAGGCTGAGACGTCCGCAGTCATACGTGGGCAGGGTAACGTTGCCGTGAAGAACAAACAATGGGGCAAAGCGGAGAAACTGTAAGCTTCGTATAACACCTTAGTCGCAATCAAAGGTCTTGCATCTTCTTCTGCTCGGATGGCTTCGCTCGCCGTTGTAGTACTAGCATCTGCTGATTTTGCGCCAAGGTACTCGGACGCAGTGCGCGTCGCGAAAACACCAGACGAGGAACACCTAGCTTACCTCAATCGCTCCTTAGTGCAGCTTCGACTAGGCCGCCCCGAGAAAGCTCTAGCGGATGCTTCAGAAACCACCAAGGGCGGACAGCCCAGTGAAAAGGGGCTCTTTCGAGAAGCCAGAGCTCTCTATGAACTCGGCAAATTCCTAGAGAGCTTTGAAAAGTGGCGCATGTTGACGGAACTGTATCAACAAAATGAAGA